TGAGAACGCCCATCATCCAGTCATCCAGTGTGGATCTGATAATATTACGCATTCACAGCTCAGTGAATGGGTGCAAAGAAAATGAAGCTGGCTCTGACTAGCACACACCGACACCAGATACAAGCTGTGCGACTGGTGTTGGGTTGCAGGAGTCGTATTTCATTCCTGCGCAACACAAGGACTGAAATAGATCCAGATTATGTGCATTAGTGAATGCCCCCAAACTGTCCATCAAATGTAAGTGTTGGCATGCCAAAAAGTAACACGTGTGGGGCGTCGTTTGTAAAGTGAAACATGCTGAAATTAACAGCAACATTTTTCCACATTTAGCTCAAAACCTTACAAAAACATGATTTTTCCCGAGTCATTTTTTACAACATTTAGTAAAATGTTTGTAACTTTTCATATTTAAAACACAATTTTAAAAGTTAAATCTAAATGTTATATTTAAATCTAAATGTTAAATCTAAATGTTACAGGAAACCAAATATTTAGTTTCCTGTTTTCACTTTCCATGTTTCACTTTACAAACTGCGCCTCATAGTTTCTTGTATTTTTTTTTATTTATTTATTTATTTATTTTTTAAGTTTTATTGAGTGATAGTGCTTTGGAGAAAACCTCTAAAGTTCTTTCAAAATTTTTCTTTGGACATTAGCTGCTTTTTCACTTACTTTTAGTCCAGTCCTTGTACCTGATTGTTTTCAGAGGAATGTCTAATTGTTAAATTAAGCCATTAAACACAGACCTATTCAGTCACTGAGGGGATTAACCAGTGTTATGTCTACACATAACAGGCAACAGTATCTGAATCTCATGTCCTTAAGGAATAGGAAAAAAAATATCCAGCAAAGACTCAGGCAGGATCTGAGTGATGCATTTGGCCCTTGATCCACCTACTGTTCACTAGGTTCAACTACTGTCTCATAAGAAATGGGCTCAGTGGAAGGGAGGCTGTCATTAAGCTTTCTTAAGGAAAGACTCAGGTATGTCAGATTACACAAGAACTGCACAGAAAATTTGTGTCAACCAGTTTGATGGTTAGATGGATCAAGATTTGATTCAAGTTTAAATTGTTATCAATATGTACAGAGGAGATCAGGAGAGCGATACCACAGTGACTGTGTACAAAACACAGTGGAGGCTCCATCATGGTTTGGGGAAATATTTCAGGAAGTGTTGTTGGGGACTTGATGGAATTGATGGAATTATGAACACAGAAAAGTACAGACAGATTTTCATCCACTATGCAACAGCTTCTTTTTTCAATATGACAATGATGCCAAACACACTGTTAATGCAATAAAAGCATACCAGGATGGAATAACACACAATTAAACTGTGAGTCATGGAAAGGCCTCCCCAGCGCTCAGACCTCAACATTATTGAAGCAGTGTGGGATCATTTTGACAGAGAACAAAACAAAAAAGCAGCCAACATCCAAGAGGAGCTTTGAATGTCCTTCAAGAAGCCTGGGGAACTATTTCTGAAGACTTTAAAGAAATGACATGAAACTTTGCCTAAGAGAGTCCAGGCTGTGTTTGGATTATACCAAATATTGACTGCCAGCCTTGTTAGAATTGTACACACTGCTGTTTTACCATATACGTGGTATTTCCTTGTAAATTCCTGCACTTACTTCCTGTTAAAGAAATAAAGGTGATTGAAAAACTTTTATTCCTGCTGAGCCAGCTCTTTCATGTGTAATGATAGCAAATTGATATCATCCTTCAATTTTCCTTTTCACACTTGTCCCCAAAACAATTACATTCGTTTTTAATTTGAAAACAAGATTTATGATATTAAACCCCCTGAAAATGTTTCTTTATTATGTAACATAAAATATTTATGGCTAAATAAGTAACTACAAAACATAGGCATATTACATTTAAAGCTGCTGTGATATGCTCTGCCTTTATGCACAGTGACCAAAAGGCCACAGCATTAGATTCCCATTCAGATGTTACTGGATCCAGATTTGCTTAATATGTGAAAATTATGGGAGAGACCTTTCCAGACCAGACCAACTCTCAAATAAAACAACAAAAATGGTTTGAACCACTGCAAACACTCTATTATTCATGCAGGGTCTTTTTTATGCCTAGTAGTAAGAAGTTTATTGAAGATACACTAAATCCAGAAACCTGAAAATTGCATTAAAATACCAGTTTTTCAATCAATGCGTGCGGCTGCCTTTTATTGAACGCGATTTGGACTGCTTTCCAAGCAGCAAACCTTGTTTGTTAACTCACAAGACCCATTCTGCATTCTGCTTTTTAATTGGGATTCTCAAGAGACCTTGTCCAAAGTCTCAGCAAAACATGCAAGTCCTATCAAGCAGCATAAGCTAAGTCCAGTAACCAATTACCCTGCTCTGGCCCAGCAGAGCTGCCGCTCTCTCTCCGGATTATAGTTCCCGCTGCTGCATTATAAATGTGCAGCTGCAGTGCTTTCCCTAATATTAGGTTATTGTGCAGATGGAAGTTGACAGTTAGTGGATGATTTGCAACAACAACAGGAAACCAGCCTTATCTGTAGCTCTCATGCCAAGAACTTCAGACACATTGTGAAAAATTAGCTCACCACTGTCATCATGTGACATTTGTTGATAAGATAAGATAAGATAAGATAAGATAAGATAAGATAAGATAAGATAAGATAAGATAAGATAACCTTTATTAGTCCCACACGTGGGAAATTTGTTTTGTCATAGCAGGAAGTGGACAGTGCAAAAGTTATATAGCAAAAATTAGAATACAATAGGAATAAAATACTGTACACAACTGTACAGAATAGAATAAAATAAAATACTATATACAGTAGAATAAATAGAATAAAATATACAATAGGATAAAAATAGAATACAAATGCTTTATACAACTGAGTAAAAATACAACTTTGTCAGAAAAAGACTGACTTCACAAAAAAATAACCTCACTGGTCAAAACCTGTTAAAGGAGAGCAGAAATTAAACTTCACCTTCTAACCTCTGAAAGCCACAAGTGAAGCTAAAGACTGTCAGGTCTCATCAGCTTTGCGGTGCCAATTATGTTGTAGTAATATTGCTTTTAGCAATTTTATTAAGCTATCTTACCCTGCAAACACAGCACAATCAGACACAAACAAAATTCAGCTTCAGTGCAAACAGATAAGGTCTTAGAATTGCAGCCAGAAAACTTAATAACATCTAACAAAGTTAAAAATGTTCAAAGTTAAAAGCGAGGAAGTCTGCAACCAAGAAATGCCTTCATGAATGGAAACACAGAGATTGGTTTACAGCAAGATGCAAACCACTGTTTACACTCAGTAAAAAGTTAGACTTTGCCAAAAACCAGATAAAGGAGGCTGCATTATCTGACAAATGAAACAAAGACTAAACTGTACTAGAATAATGGGAGAAGAGAAGTATGGAGAAGGAAAGAAAAAGCTAATGGTTTGACAAACATGGTGACATGTGCATATATGGCTGCCAGTGGAACCGGATCACTGGTGTTTATTGATGATGTGGCTGCTGATTAAATGAGAAGTGCACAGGGCTATATTCCCTGCTCAAACAACACTTCACGGTGGGAAATGGATAATGACTTAAAATCAGATTTAGTGGTGTACAGAGGCAAAACGACAAAACTAAATAAATAAAAATGTTACTTTCTAACTGCTGAAAAAAGAGAATGTGTTGATGGTTGAAAGACAGACACACACACACTGACTCTTGCACTCGTCTTCAGTGCCCAGTTACAAATCCGTCCTTGTCTTGTTGGCGGACTATAAGCTTTCTGAAAGGACTTATGAAGACATCCATGATGTTTCTTTCATGTGAGCTAAGGATGAAAGAAAAAAAGATGAACCTGTGAACTCACACTTCAAAGCTCACAGCTCGGGAGAATTTTTCTTTAATTTCATGTTTCAGGAAACACACACACACACACACACACACACACACACACACACACACACACACACACACACACACACACACACACACACACACATTTCACAATCACAGAGCACAGTGTGTGGGCTTGTGTGCATGTGTGTGTGTGTGTGCGTGAGACTCCAAGGTAACATAGGTGCATTTGTCAGTACAATGAAAATAGTTTTAAATAAAATTACACCATTTTTTCCTCATTTGCATAGAGTTGCTTGGGGAAAAAATGTGGTAAATTAACAGATTTTATTTAAATGTTTTCATTTCATTCTCCAACTATTCAGTCACATTCTGTTAGCTGGGAGGCAAGTGCCCTTGAGTTATTCAGAGCTGTTCATAAAGCAAGTCAGAGCTCTATCTATCTATCTATCTATCTATCTATCTATCTATCTATCTATCTATCTATCTATCTATCTATCTATCTATCTATCTATCTATCTATCTATCTATCTATCTATCTATCTATCTATCTATCTATCCATCCATCCATCCATCCATCCATCCATCCATCCATCCATCCATCCATCCATCCATCCATCCATCACATTTAAAATACAATGTGCATGTTTACTTTGGCCATCTGTTCAAACAGCTTCATTATTTAAATGTACATTAAAAACAGCGTTTTTCCTGTAAATGTAACTGAAACATCACTGACTTTATGGTGAGCTGAGTGTCTCTGGTGGTACAGAATAAAGAGAGGCACTAAAGACACTGCCCTGCAGTTGTCTTTTCTTTTTTCTGTTTTTTATTGCTGGGGAGAATAGGCGCTGTGTTTTTCCACACCTCTGCATACTATTCCACAGAAATCCCCAGAGAAACAGCTCAATCTCTCGTTTGACGGACAGCTGTAGCTCGTCTCTTGTGAAAAGTGAATTTATTTGACCACTTCTGCTGCCTGTATTTTGGGGGAGAACAAGGGGAACTATACTGGGTCATACTAGGAATGCATATAAAAATGTTTTGAGCTCATCACTTCTCTGTGAAGCTCGAATGTAGCTGCCTCACTCCCTCACTCCCATCTAACTCCTGCTCTGTTACATTTAAGAATCTCATTTGGTCTTCACAGCTGCTTTCACTATGACAGCGTTTGACTTCTCGGATATAGAGGCGTTTTTGGATTGCCACCCGGATCTGTTCGAGGAGTATCTCGTTCGGAAAGCCAAATGTGACCAGGTTAGCAGGTGGTTGAAGGAGCATCAGCCGTCGAAAGTGTCCTCTGTCGAGGAGAAGCGGGGCGCTGCCATGGACCCACTGTGGCCGACCAGTGCTGACGGACTCCGGCGCAGATCGTCCCACATGGAGCTGCGACGGAACTTTGCTCGGTCCAAAGCCACCACTGCACACTGGACATACGACGAGCACGTGAGTTTGAGCGAACACGAGTCCCAGTCCAGCATGAGGCGCCGTGCGCTCCTGCGTAAAGCCAGTTCACTGCCTCCCACTACCGCGCACATCCTGAGCGCCCTGCTGGAGTCCAGGGTCAATGTGCCTCAGTACGCATCCAGCGCCATTGACTATAAATACAGACTTAAAGAAACCAACGAGAGGGAGTTTTTTTTAGAGCTCGTGAAAGATATCTCCAACGAGTTGGACTTAACAAATCTGAGTTATAAAATCCTGATCAATGTCTGCATTCTTGTGGATGCAGACAGGTGTTCGCTTTTCCTCGTTGAAGGACCCCCTCACAAGAGGACTCTGGTTTCCAAGTTCTTTGATGTGCATTCAGGCACTACAGTCAGACCATCATCTAGCACTCTTAACTCCAATGAAGTGCAAGTGCCATGGGGGAAAGGTATCATTGGATATGTGGCAGAGCACGGGGAGACTGTAAACATCTCAAACGCATATGAGGTAAAGTGTACACCGTTATGATCAATAGAATTTGTATTCTTAATTTATGTGCGTCCATTTAAGCTGGCGGATATCAGTACATGATGATGTCGGGTATTGGACCCGAGTTTTGTAGTAGTAAAAGAAAAATTTCTGCAATACACATCAGGTTTCAGGTCCACCTTCAGCTGCATTCCCAAGTTAAAAGCATCCACAAATGTGTGTCTTTTTCAAAGTAATGGGACTTTTTTGTTTTGGTTTTTGCCAGCAGAGGTATTCAGGTGTTGGCAAAACTATCCCACTCCTCAGAATTTCAACTGCGCACGTCGTTCCGAATACCAAATGCAGGTTCTTTTGGATACAAAAAATACAATAGTCAAAGAAAAGGAAAACCAATCACTATATTTTTTCCCCCCACAAACTAAATCTGGTATTATATGCTAGACTTGAGCACCACATCATTATATCATCGCCCTGGGCTGCTTGGGAAACTAAGGAAACATGCGATCTACTACTCCAGCAGCATAGGTACGTGCCAGTGAGGGGTACAAGAGTCTCTCTGCTTATAGTAAAAACAGTTTCAATCAACAGAGACTCAAATTTACAAGCCCAAGAGTCAGACCTAAACGCTGCGGATGCTTTATCATAGGCTTTACGAGACAAACGCGCATATGGTGAAGGAATGTAGAGCTGGGATGTGTGTGTGTGTGTTTTTTAATGTGGACTCCAGTCAATAAATATGCAATAGCCTGTATGTTTATATAACCACAATTCCAGGATCACCGCTTCAGTGATGAGATTGACAAGCTGACCGGGTACAAGACTCAGTCCATCCTCTGTATGGCCATCTGCAACAGTGATGGAGAAGTCATAGGTGTTGTACAAGCTATTAACAAAAATCCAATCGGCACCCCATTTACTGAGGATGACGAGAAGGTGAGGCTCTGTTATGCTGAAGAGAAGAAAATCATTCGCCTGTCGTACCAGCGGGCTTCACATTCATATTCATCTTCTTCAATATTACTTATCGCGCCATTAAGGGCATTTAACGAGGGAGTTAAATTTAACTGGTGCATCGTCTACCCCACCACCCAACACTAACACTTGCCATGCAACTGGAAATATTGTTTGTAATTTGCATCTTAATGGCTGCGGAGAGGGGTAAAGTGTTCCCTTGGAATCAAAACACAAGAAAATGGAAGAGAAGAGGTCAAGCTTTTACTCAACCGTGGAGCATTAAATACGTTCGCCTGTGCATACACACAGTAAGAAAAGTGTTACTTTCAGTTGCTCCCTGTTCCAGTTGAAATGGGCTTACTAGAATATATGTGTGTTATAGCTTCATTTACGGCTCCGCTGCTTATGAGTACAATTTAATTCTCAGAGTTTGCTGACGAGACAATAATATTTCGTACATCCTGGAGATTGGAGGGTTTGGTAAAAACAAAACAAAAACAAAAAACTGCATCAATGCTGATATTTGCAGTTTGTAAAAATCACAAGTTTGCTTCTGCGTGCAGACCAGTTGCACTGACAAATTCATCCACAAGGTGGCAGAAAAAACTTGTGGAAATAAATGCATTGTGAATCCGTATAGTATGCTCTAACGCTCAACTTCAAAGAAGCTGTGAGAGATTTAAGCTTCTTTTTCAAGTGTATATAAAACAAAGCACTAAATATAACTTTGGCAGAGCAACCTCAGAAACTATTTTTCAGCAACAAAGACTGTAAAAATAGGGAGGAGAAAAAGCTTCATCCGGCAGCTTGTCCAGACATTTTAAGGCCTTTGATGTCTTACTAAGTCTCTTTCTCTGAATCAGTACTTCATTAACAGCAAATCTATTTGAGAGAAATTTGCACTGAGAAGCAGCTGACTCCATCATGATCTTTGTATGCGCATTTACTCTTTCTGGTTCTCTTATTCGGCTTTATGTCATTATTAGCATGCAGACATTGTGCATGCCTTTCTCCACTTTTTTGTGTTTTCATTCAGGTGCTGCAGATGTATCTACCATTCTGTGGAATATCGATTTCCAATGCTAAGTTGTTTTCAGAGTCTCGCAAGGAGTATGAAAGGAGCAGGGTGAGAAGTTTTAAACTGTGCTTTTACAAAAACATAACTGAACACAATAATCACTCCAAAACACATTAACATGCTGTATGCTTGCCTTTCACAAGTTAGGCTTACATTAACTTCAGCAGCGTGATATTCTATCAGGAATGTGGAAATATGTTTGTGTAATGAACAAATGAAGTTACGGTGTTTATTGTTGCTGCTACAGGCTTTGCTGGAGGTGGTCAATGACCTGTTTGAGGAACAGACCGACCTGGAAAAGATTGTCAGGAAGATCATGCAGCGAGCGCTGACTCTGCTGCAGTGTGAACGTTGCTCTGTGCTTCTTCTGGAGGACATTGACTCACCTGTGAGACCTTTCTTTTCCCATTTCCTCACAGATTCATCTGCTGCTTGATTTTCAGTGTATAACTAAACCAAAGTCATTATAACCTTTTTTTTTTAATTTGCTGAATGACTTTATTTCTGATTGCAGTGATATATGATTTTTCTCATAGGTTGTGAAGTTCTCAAAGACATTTGAACTCATGTCTCCTTTGTGCAATGTGGACCGTGACATCAGGTTAAGGAGATTTTGCTCATAGATCACTACTGCAGAATTACAATAAACACAAATATGATTAACATTAAAAGAAGACTTGCATTTCACTGTGATAAAATTTGTAGTCAGTGTTTCTGTATATTAATGTTTGACTGTTGCTTCCTCTTTGTAATAGTGCCCACATCAGCATGGAGAAGTTATCCTGTTCTGACTGGCTAATCAATAACAGTATTGCTGAGCTGGTGGCTTCAACAGGACTGCCTGTTAACATCAGTGATGTGTGCCAGGACCCACGCTTTGATGCTGAGGTATACACAGTGTAGTGTATTTATCAGATCTGAGGCTTTTATTTAAAAAACAGTCAGATAATATGAGTCATTTGCACCGTTGTTATCACTGCAAGAATATCAGTTCCCCCCCCCAAAAAAAAGTAAAAAATGGCTTCTCTCTTTGCAGGCAGATCAAGCTTCAGGGTTTCATATCAGATCAGTGTTATGTGTTCCTATCTGGAATCGAACTCATCAGATAATTGGTAAGTGAACCAGAAAATAATCAGTTTTGTTTCACTGGAAACAAGTCCTCATGTTATAGTCATGATTTATGTATATTTTCCACAGGGGTTGCACAAATTCTGAACCGCCTGGACAGGAAGACCTTCGATGATGCAGATCAGAGGCTATTTGAGGTTAAGCTACACTAGCAACCTTCTGTTTGGTCTGCACTGTGACACTGTAGATCCGCAGGTTCTTTTCATGTTTCATATTTTTCCTCTGGCCTGTTGTTTGTGTGCAGGCATTTGTGATATTCTGTGGCCTTGGAATCAACAACACAATGATGTACAATCAAGTTAAGAAGACATGGGCTAAACAGTCTGTAGCACTGGATGTAAGCCTGTTCTTCTATCCATCACTCTATGTCTCTCTGGAGGATAAAAGATATTTATGTATCTTTTTCTATACAATAATTTCTTTTTTTTTGTCATGTGCCAGTTTTCTTTTATGGTAAATGGCCTGTATTTGTACAGCGCTTTACTTTATGTTTTCTTTTATGTTTTGATGATTCCATGTAATCCATCCATCCATTTTCTTAACCAGTTCTCTAACTAGGGTTGCAGAGGAGCTGAAGCCTTTCTAGTTGACACAGGAGAGTGGTGGTTTACACAAGTTACCAGTCTATCAAATGGGTAGTATAATCTGATATCAATTCAAATCAATTTTATTTATATAGTGCAAGTTCACAACTATAGTTGCATCAAAGTAAGAGTAAAGACCCAACAAAATTAGAAAGAAAACCCCATCAATCACACAACCCTAAATAAGGAAGCATTTTATAAGAGTACGAAGGAAAAAGGGAGCCTGAAAGCTGAAGGTTCTGCCTACCATTCTACTTTTAGAAACTCTACAAATAAAAAGTAGGCCAGCAGCCTGATAGAAAGGTGAGCTGTTAGGAAAATATGGTACTGTAATTTGATGTATATTTACTACTACCTTCTATTTACATTTACCTGATTACTTTGTATGTAAGGAAATTTATTTTTAATTCTATTCTAAATTTAACAGTGAGCCAGTGAAGAGAAACTAATATGGGAGATATATGATCTTTCTTTCTGGTCCCTGTCGGTACTCTTGTTTTGGATCAACTGAAGGTTTTTCAGGGAGCTTTTAGAGTGCCCTGAAAATAATGAATTACAAGAGTAATAGTATTAGATAAGTGCATGAAGTAGCTTTTCAGCATCACTTTGAAACAGAATATTGCTAATTTTAGAGATTCAGGACAGTGTGAATGAGTAAATAAAGCTGAGTGTCATCTGCATAGCAATGGAAATATCTGTAATGTCTTCTAAATATACAGCCTAAGGGAAGCATGTAAAATATTAAAAGTATTGATACCAGCATGCAACGCTGTGGAGCTCCATGACTAACTTTTATGTGTAACTCTCCATTTACACACACAAATTGGAATCTATCAGATAGAGTTGCGCTATTGCAGAGCTGGATTCCTGTAATACTTTCAGTGTGTTCTGATCTCTGCAGTAAAATACTATGGTCAATGGTATCAATAACAATATAAGCTGTAGCAATAATCCAATCAACTTTTATTCATAAATGGGTCTATATTTATTGTGGGAAAAAAGCAAACTTCAATAAACTTAATGCTAAATCTTACAATTCCAAAACTGTAAGATATTACAAATTACTAAGCAATTTGGGAGCAGTATTAGAAATATGTGGTATATACGGGAAAAAATAATAATTTTCAGTGACACTACTCTGAAATGAAAACATATTTTAGGACACACGGTAAAATGAATTCAAACTACCTGTATGAGAAATTATCGATTCCAGAAAAATGCTGTGTCACCACTGTTACTGCTAATCTTAGCAGAGGCTCTTTACATTCATTGGTGTCTCAGTCTGCGTTCTGTTCCAGTGCCCAGTATCTAACCTGAGCAGTCACATTATCCTCAGAAAACATGATTCCTCTTCTTTACCATAAATATTTTAGTTGCTTTTAAATTATTAATGATAAATACACGTGCAGGTCTGCTCAGTTTTCATCAAGGACAACAAACACAGCTGTATTTCTGTCACACAATCTTTGATGTTTCTTTCATCACCTGATGGATTTTTTTGTGATTAGAGACGCCAAAATATAGCAACAAATTGGCTTTAAAAGCAGATACATATTTACTTTGATCTGATTACATAGGACGGTGAATACAGATAAAAAACATCAACACTCTTGGTAAATATTAATTATCTTTTTTAGCAGTGAGTGTACATTAGAGAGCTAGTCTTATGTTATTTAGGCCATCCCCTCATGACATCACCTCACTATCTGGGACAGTTTTTTTTTTTTTAATACATCAGTGTTTTGCATTATTTTCTGTTTTTCAGATGTTGTCCTATCACGCTACCTGCTCCAAGGTGGAAGTTGACAGACTGAAGGTAATCCTCAGAACTAATCAAATAAAAACATTATATAATGCATAAAGGCACTATACCAACATCAGGAAAATAGTGAAATGTGTCAGTAGATAAAGGTGCAACGTAAACCGGAAGGCTGTTTGCCTATGCTGTCATCCTTCAGTGGCACTCTGTGACTGACAGCACTGTCCTCTCCCCCTAAGGCTGCCAAGATCCCCCTGAGCAGTGAGTTAGGCATTGATGAGTTTCACTTCAACGACTTTTCATTGGACAACGACGCCATGATCACGGCTTCTCTCAGGATGTTTCTGGAACTTGGTGTTGTCCAAAAGTTTAAAATTGACTATGAGGTAAGGCCATGAAATGTGCCCTGTAATATGTTTATCCATCCATACATAAACATGATCATACCTTCTGTATATCTGTCTGTAGGTTTTGTGCCGCTGGCTTCTGACTGTGAGGAAGAACTATCGAACTGTGGCATACCATAACTGGAGGCATGCTTTCAATGTGTCGCAGTGCATGTTCGTTATGATCACGGTAAATTTTAACATAGAGCAAAAAAAGTCAGATGTATATCTTACAGAAGCAATGATGTAAAGTTGTTTTGCATGCCCACAAATAGATAGATCTATGGAATAAACTATATAAAAATTTCTAAGAGGTATATCCAAGGTATTTCTAAGAAGTCATATGGTGGTGGATTTGGTCTCTTATTGCTTAGGGTTGCTTCTATGTCCTATCCTATCCTAACTGATGCAAAATAGCCTATAAAAGTACGTTAAATATTTAGCTAAAATAAATGAAACAGAATAGATTTAAAATTACTCAGTAAGAATGTGGCCATCTGCTTTGCATTGTGTAGACAGCAAGTTTCCAGGATGTCCTGTCAGATGCAGAGATATTGGCACTGATGGTTGGCTGTTTGTGCCATGACTTAGACCACAGAGGCACCAACAATGCATTTCAAGCTAAGTACGCCACAGAGGCCTGTGGATTTTGGAACTGGTGTCTTGTTAATGCAGAGAAGTGTAACTACTCTGTTGTTCCTGCAGGACAGGTTCTGCTCTGGCCCTGCTTTACGGGACATCAGCCACCCTGGAGCATCATCACTTCAACCATGCAGTCATGATCCTGCAAAGTGAGGTCAGGCTAATATTTTTCTATTTTTTGATAAATTCCATGTAATTCTTATGTTTTTGCAGAGGTTTCTTTTTTTTATCTTAATAGTTTGCTTTCCTTGTTCAAGGTTCTGTAACTTCCAACTGATAAAAGAAAATAATATTTACTTAATCCTTAATGAAATCTTGATGATTAATTTGAATAAATAACGTCATATGGTGTCAGTTAGATAGATAAATTTATATTTTTTTCTTTATTTTCTTATAGATAGCGGTTTGAATATGAAACGAAAATACCAGAGTCAAAAAAAAAAAATCAAGGACAGACATTGGTGTATTTTTGAAATGTTATTTAATCAGCTCAATTGTGGATCAGTAATACATGCTATGGCCTGAGGCTAGTCGGCAATTTCTGTCCCTTTAGATTAAACTAAACATCAGCTCAGCAAGAAAACACATTCAAAATAACAGAAAACACAAATGCACAGACTTCATTCAATTTAAAAGTGTTGGACTGAGACCATTAGGCTAACAGAAAGCCACTGTTTAAAGAGTTCGAGTAAAGTCGAGAGGCTGCTTTGTCTCAGGTGAAAATCAGTTTGATCATTGGGATCCGTGTTTTTTTATCGATTTCTTTTAGCAGCGGACAGAGAAAGTCCAAACACGCTGCTAATTAACATTTCTAAAGGGAGCTTCTTTTGACAGTGAGCAATGACTTTACCGGTGCATTGGATTTAAGGAGACATTTTAGCCACTATTACTCATCCTCGTCTGCTTTTGCGTGTGTACCCACTGTATTGCATGCTATTGTGTTTTTATTTCACAGGGTCACAATATCTTTGCAAACCTAAGCTCTAAAGAGTACAGCAACATGATGCAACTATTGAAGCAGGCTATTCTCTCCACAGACCTTACTTTGCACTTTGAGTAAGTGTTGCTTTTTTTTCCTCACGGCATTCAAGGCCAAAATAGTTTGTGACTTGTAAACTTACATACATCATTATAAATTATTGGATGTATTACCATATTCTGAACAATAATTTTCACATTTTTTTGTCATTACAAAGCTCTTCCACTTGGGTGGTTACCAAGATGGGGAGGGGGACAAATTGTGCTTCAACTTTTTTTTTCTGTCCTTGATTATCTCTTTTAATTGCAAGGCGCAGAACCAAGTTTTTTGAATATGTTCTGTCTGGAGAGTTCAGCTGGACTGATGAAGGACACAGAGAAGTTCTCAGGTTTCTACATTTATATACAAATAAATCAAAATAACACAAACTATAACTGAATTTAAAAAAAAGAGATGGAAATGAGCTTTAATGTCATCAACAGGTCTATGTTGATGACAGCATGCGATCTGGGTGCAGTCACTCGTCCCTGGAAGATATCCAAACAGGTTTGAGCCTTTCACTATCCCTTCATCCAGGCTGCTAATGTTTTAATCACTGATAGTAATTATTAACGCAGCTGCTCTTGCTATGTATGGGTCCGAATGGCCGGAAAGGATGCTAGGTTGTGTACATGACCTTATACACCAGGGCATTGTGATATTGTTAGAAGCTGCATTTATAATAATCCTTATTGTGATACATCTTCTTTTTTTCCCCAATATATGCTAAGAAGTACATAATTGCAATACAACCAAAGAAGGTCTTTTCCATACACTCCGGAATATGCACTTGCTTCCTAGTGGCCCTGAGCCATGGCTATATTAAGAGGATTCTTATAATATATCCATGTCATGAATATGTTACAGGTACAGGACACTGGAGGATAGATTAGATTAAAAAATCCATCTAAGGTAGTGCCACAAACATCGCTTCAGTTTCTTTGGGACTTTTCCAAAAAGAGCATAAGGGCACTTCCTAAAGGCCATTTAAAAAGTTTTTTTTTTGCATCCTTGACCCATACAGTTGTTCTATCTAGGTCAAGGATGCATGTTTCCTAGAGCTTTCTCATTAAATTAAATTAGCTCACTAATCCATTTACTTAATTTTACTTGGACACAAACACTCATTTGATTTTTTTTATACACAACCAAATTATATTTCCAAAGCTTAGTTTACAGTCCTGTGCATGTGTTTTTTTTTTTCTAAAATAATGCATGTGATGCGTTAGCATGACCCATAATAGTACCATACTAATAGAAAGATAATTGTTCTTCTCATTTAATTTAAATTAAAATAAGGACAAAATAACAAAGTACGTTTAAGCCATTATTAACAGCATACTGGTACATCATTTTTAGAGTTAACTAATTTGTTTCCCTCGATCTGCACAGGTTGCAGAGCTGGTTACAAGTGAATTCTTCGAGCAAGGTGATAGGGAGAGGTCAGAGCTTAAGTTAATCCCAGCAGTAAGTAAGGAAGCTTTAAAAGTCAGTCACACAATTTTCCACAATTTTCTTAATATAGCTAGATCTCTCTCTAGGCAATCTTTGACCGCAATCGCAAAGATGAACTACCTGCCTTACAGCTTGAATGGATTGATGGGATCTGTAAACCTCTTTACCAGGTCAGACAACCCTTTATGATTTAAGTTAAGCATTTAGGTCTTATGAAAAGGTAATAGTAATTAAACTATTAATATCATTCTTTCTCTCCAGGCACTGCTGAAACTCAACAGAAAGTTACAGCCAATGATGGATGGCATCGATGCCAATCGAAAGAAATGGCAGGATCTCTGCTCATCCTATCAGCAGACACGCAGAGCTTCGGTGTCTAATCAGAGTACAGAATCAGGTCAGAACACTGAGTCAGGTGAAGAAGATGGAGAAAACAATGAAAACCTAGAGTCTAGAGAAACTGCGAAGCCAGTCGAAAACTCAGTGTTTGGGTCAAAGTGCAGTTAGGATCAAAGATGCAGAGAAAACAAGGAGATGGAAACATAGCATCTGCAGGAAAGAAGTAAAATAAGCTAAGTGTTTGGCAAGCTTTGCATTAAGTTGAAAACATTCAAATGTCCTCTGATTTGATGAGAAATGCACTACCCACTATTGGTAAATGAAAAGCAGCTTTCATCTGCTAGGTGTCCCAAGCACTACGTTAAACTCAGGACTGAGCTTTATCCCTACTGGTCAGACTCCCTCAGACCTCCCTCAGCTCTCAGATGTAACTGAGAGCTTGTCATGGGATGAATGAGAATTGAATAAGAATGAAGGATGAATAAGAAACCAAAGAAGGTCTCTTAATATTATAATATTTTTAATGGGAACTGTGTTAGAAATCCCAAAACTATTGGAATGCCTTTACAAAACAAAAAAGAATCACTGTGACAAATCATATAAATTGCCATTATGAATGTTTACTGGAGCATGATTGTGTTCTGGATAAGGCTGTGGTACCTCAGTTGCAAGTCTTTGGCTATATGGTGTAATTTTCAGTGTTTGTGGGTTAATTGAACTGTTTGGCCAGCCGCTTGTTGTGTGCAACACGTGTATTTTCTGGGGGAAAACAGGCAGATATGCGTCAAAGACTCAAACAAGAGGTCAGGGTTAAAATTTAAAGTCTGCTGGCTTGTTGTATGCACGTGTCTCTCTGTGTGTGTGAGTCTGTGTTATATCATGGTTAGGTAGTTATTTAATGGGTCTTAAAATAATTTATTGCAGCGGGATAGTTTAATTTCCAGTCTCATAAAATGTTTAATGAATGCTCACTTGATTGAGAAAAATACATGAATGCCTATAAGTCCATGTCCATGTGTTCAGTTCAGTGTTAGATCTACTTTCTCTTTACATGTGCCCCAACTGTATGCTACTAATTTTATTGTTTACTGTCTTTAAACTACACACAGTGGGATGAGTTTGTCTTACTCTCGCTAAAAAAGAAGACTCCTCAGTGCCCGTACTATGGCCTTTACAAGATTTCGGTGTTGTACATATAAAATATGGAAAAATATCCAACTGGAAGTTTCATAAAGCAGATTGTGTACATACAGTATATACGGTGCCATGAAAAGTATTTTCCCCCTTACTGATTTCTAAGCTTTGTGTATTTTTGTCACACTTACATGTTTCAGATAATCAAAGAAATGATAAATGATGACTTCATTTATTAAGGAAAAAAGCTAGCCAAACCTAATCTATGTGAAGTCATGGCCTGCCTCATTGAAAATAATGAAAATCATGAAAATAATTTGATTAACCGCGTTTTCATATAAAAGAAAAAAGCTGAGTCCAGTTTCATGAGCTAAACCCAGAACTGATTACCAGACCTGTTGAATCAAGGAATCACTTAAATGGAACCTATTTGACAAAGTGAAGTAGGTTAAAAGTCCTCAAAAAGCAACAGCTGAGAAACAAAGTCACTGATATCTATCAGTCTGGAAAGGGTTACAAAGCCATTTCTAAAGCTTTAGGACTCCAGTGAACCACAGCGGTAAGGACAGCACTATCCACAAATTGAGAAAACTTGGAACAGGGTGAACCTTCCTAACAAAATTACTCCAAAGAACCCAGAACTGCATCTAAAGAACCGCAGGCCTCACTTGCCTCACTTGCTTCACTTCAGGTCAGAGTTCATTATTCAACAATAAGAAAGAAACTAAACAAAAATGACATCCATGGGAGAACTCCAAGGAGAAAACCACTGCTGACCAGGAAGAGGACATAGCTGAGCTCACATTTGTCAAAACTCTGTGGACTGATGAAGCAAAAGTTGAACTTTTTTAAAAGGTTTGAGTCCCATTACACCTGACATAAAACTAACCATCATTTCAGGAAAAGAACACATCATGCCAACAGTCAAACATGGTGGTGGTAGTGTGATGGTCCGGGGGTGCTTTCTGCTTCAGGACCTGGACGACTTGCTGTAACCGACTGAACCATGAATTCTTCTGGTAAACCCTGGAGGAGAATGTCCAGCCATCAGTTTGTGCTCTAAAGACAATGCAGGACAGTGACCCAAAACACGCCAGCAAGTCCAATGGCTCCAAAAAAAAAATAAAAAATTGAAATCCAATTGAGATGCTTTCTTCATGCATCCTAACTCTACAATCTGTCTGAATAAAAACTATTCTGCAAAGAAGAGTGGGCCAGAATTCCTTAATAGCAATGTGAAAGACTCATTGCTAGCTATCACAAATGCTTAATTTCAAGTCCTGCTGCCAAGGGTGGCACAAACAGCTACTTTGCTTAGGAGCCAATTAATTTTTCAAATACGGCTGGGTAGGTACGGATGGCTTTTAGTAAATGAAATCATTATTTTTAAACTGCATTTTGTATTTACGCTGGTTATCTTTTCCTAATTTTATAATATTGAAATTTGTTTGATGGTTTGAAACATTTAAGTCTGAGGAATACTAAAACTAAGAAATCAGGAATAGGGCAAATACTCTTTCATGGCACTTTACACTATGCTTTCATTTATTTGCCGATGCATGGTGATTGTGTTGAAACTGCATGCATCATATTTAATATTGACGCTGGACATTATCTCGATGCCTTCGACTGCCCAATGAGATTTGTTTTGCATGAAAGTATTACAACGGAAATACGAAATGTTGCTACTGCACTACTGTTGTCGAGAACAGATACAGATTTCTATTTTAGATCACAAACTGTACCAAAATGATACATTCATTATTTTTCATACACCAGGCTCTATATTTATAATTATTCCCTAAAATAAATTCTTAGAGAAGACAGGACGGCGTTTCACTTCAGACAAAAAGGAGAGGCAAGTTTTAAATGTGTCTCCATCTGGTTTTGTGAATAAAACTCTGTGGCATGAAAACTGTTTGTTTGGTGTTTATGTAACCAGAGTTATGTCATAGCTATTGTTTAAAATTACAGTAGCTGCTTCTTTATATCAGACCGTCTGACAATTGTGAAGTTTACTGACATTCAGAAGGAGGAAGTAGCACCATGATGTGAATGTATTGTTACTGTTGTAAGGCTATTGGCAAAAAAAATAAAATAAAATACATGAATAAATATGATAATCCATCAAGTACATTCTCCACTGTAAATGATATACACAATATGCCTAATGTGACAATGCACTGTGCTTTCATATGTGGCCAAGGATGACGCTGATGCACTCTTTCACTGAAGCACATTGAGGCAGCTGAGATCTGGAAGATTATGAATCAATTAAACATGCAGTCCCCATGATTCATTAGCCTGTAGGAACAGTTTTAGCAGCAATAACTTGAAGTAAAAACTCACAGTTTGGGTTTGGATCATCTTCAAACTTTACATCAGTATACCAGGCCATGGGGGAGCTAAGTACCTAGGTTGGCTAAGCATTTGACCATGACAGTCGCTGTTAGCGTCCAGTAACAATGTTAACCTTGAAATTTTTTTTAAGAAACAATATTGAGTAACATATCAAATGAAAGGGCATGGGGAAAGCTTTACAACACTAGTTTTATTTTTTCAATAAGACATCCTATGGAATCACAATAACATAACATAACAGGCTGATGGGCTCGTTCTCTGAGTATTGAATTGTTAGGAATTTAACATTTCAGACGCTAACTGAGGTCTGTAGACCCTGAGGTTTTTTGCAGTTTCTCGCAGCACTGCACAGTCTGACTTCATGGTGAATTTTCTGTGACGTCCATTCCTTGTGTTGTGAAGATTGTGTTAACACACATCTAATTTGTCCAGACCAGCAAACTGCCAAACTTCCGTTTTTGCATTTGATAAGAAACAGTTTTCTGCTATATACGCTCTTAATTTTTTATGGAAAATCAGCATGGATGTAGTTTTTCACATGGCTCCATACAGGCCTGTTAACACATTGTTTTTCACATGACTGTAGGTGTGGCTTCTCTCACTGTTGATAAAACCCCAAACACGTTGCTTGTGCATATCTGCAGCATCACAGATAACAAAACAACATCTGTCCACATCTGCTACCTGAATGTCATTAAACTTGGAAATTAATGCTTCTAATTTCAAGTTGCATTTATTTCTTATGTCTTTCATAAAAAGTAGAGTAAAGTGTTTTTGTTTGATTTTCTTGTGCGTATGGATATTAATAGAGTTTATGTGACTGAAATAGACAGCATCTGTATTTATGATATGCAGTGGCTTTGAGATTTCCCTGTCTCTTTGGAATACTGAAGAACAACATGGAGAGCAACAATATCTCTTTTTACCTTTTTATATTTGACAGCACATAAGAAAAGACGAACTTGCACTTTCAAAATCGTCTCAGGTAAAAGAGCAAAGTGACATGAAAGACTGCCAAAGAGAAAAACACCGAAAAGTAACGATAAAGGTTGAATCATCCGCAAAGCCTCAAAACAGAAGCTGAAACATTGTATAGAGATTCTTTACATATTCATACAGCCTCTGTTAAATCCTCTTATTGGTCTGTGGAGAGTGTTTGATGTTGATTTTAATAGGTGAGGCAACAGTAGAAGCAGAAGTAATGTATAAAACCCAGTACAGCTTGATGCGTATTCAGCCGCCAGCTGCCAAGCCATAGCCAGACCCGGGCCTTAATCTATAATTTAACATGGATTGAGTTTATTCTCCTCAGGGTCCGTGATCAGGGAGAACTGGATGGAGACAGGAGAGAGAGCCTTCCAACCTCATTTTTGATACAGAGTCTGGCTCCAGCACAGTCTTTGATCTCTCTGCTGCTCTCGCTTCCTCTTCGCTGTGCTTGTTTTTTTTTGTTTTTTTTGTCTCCCTCACATACAGAAGCAGCATCTCTAACTCATATCCTGTCTGACATACTGTACTATAGGTACACGCTGACAAAAAGATGCAGTGCATAAATGTCTGTGCGGAAAACAAACACCCCGAAGAGACGCGTGTAATGTTTAATAACCTTTAAGATATTTATATGCCTAGTTTATATTCTGAGTCATTTTTTATGAACCAGAGCTCAAAAAATAAAAACACATAATAAGAAATAACCTCTGAGAATGAGTTACAGTGAAGGTTTTAAACAGTGTGTGTAAACATTATCACAGTAATGAGATCGCTCCAACTGCTGCTTTGTAAATCTAGAGGAAATGTCCTTTATCCATTTTTAGAAACTAGATTGCCATGCAAATGCAATAGTGTGAAGCAGACTATAAATATTAATACACACTCTTACTAATGGTGGTGTACTAGAAATAGCTGTGTTCGCCTCATGATTATTTCTTTGATTATGTGCAAATCTTTTTTATGATACAATGCCGGAACTCTATTATGAATTTTAAAGCAGACGGCACTTGTTGGGCATGCATCAGTGTGATGGCTTCAATAATCACACATTCAACACCACATCAAGTCTGAACACAGCAAACAAGAAACTTTGGGGGAGAAAAAATTAAAACACTTCAGTGACTGTAAAACACTATTTGTTTACATTTACTGTACTTAGAGTACTACAGTACATACCTTGAGCCACTCCTCATTTCCATATATTTTTCTAGGAAAATGGAAAATAGGTGCAGTGATTTATTGAAACGTGCAAAAACATTTATGGAAATGCACGATATAGTGCAAAAAACAGTTTCTGGCTCCATAACTGATAGTGTTTCCACTGTGTGTTCTATCCATGCTTTAACTGCATTGGTCATGGGTTTGAGGTCATTATGTGGCTGAAAAATGAAGCTGTGGCTAATCAGATGCTTTCAGATGGTACTCCATGGTGGATCGACATCTGATGGTAATTTTCTGCATTTATGAGTCCATCGATTTTGACAAGATCGCCAACACCACTGGCTGAAATGCAGCCCCAAAACATGACAGAGCCTCCACAGATGATGATTTGATCCTAAGACCTGTAGCCATTGATTTTCACCTTATTGGTGCAGAAATACTATTTTATGTTTGTAACTGTGTTATCTTTGGAATTATTCATGGATTCATTTAAATAAATGAGAACAAATCATGAGTTTTTGTGACAGGCTGTTAGTAATAAATTGTCTAAAGATACAATTCAAACATGTTTATTTGCTAAGTGGTCTTTTAAATGTAGACCCAACACTGATTCAACAAAGAAACATTCCTTGACCACTTTAAATATTGCAAAAAAGTCAGGAAGCAAAAGATAAAGAAATGAGCAGTGACTCAAGACTATTGCACAGTTTCTGTATAAAAGTAAATCAACAAAGAAGAAGCTAGTGTATTTACTTCCCCATTATTCCATGGCGACTTTAAGAATCTGCTTGGAAGTCAGAATAGCTCATATCACTAAAAATAGAATTATAAAGTGTGGATGAAAACATAATTTAAGGTCCATTTAGTAGTTGTTGTAAAGCTTTTCACCGCCATATTTGCAAAATTATTCTTGCTTTTAGTAAAATACTTGTGCACTGTTTACACATATGAAAATGTCTGGTATTCTATTCAATTTACGCCATCTGCCAACAGACGGCATATATGAAATTCTCTAAATATGGTGGCTGAATAAATGATTTTTCATTGGTTAGACGAGGACCCATTATAGATCAAAATTTATGTTTGTGCGTGCGCATTAAGACGCTGAAGTGTGGCTATTGTAGCTTTCAAAAGAAACTAGCAAAGAATTTTAATGATAACTTTAGTGACAGGAGACTAATATACTATTACTTCAGCTCAGATAGTGTTTTGCAGAGCTGTGACTTAGGAGAAAATATACAAAGGAAGTGAAGGACACAGTCTCACAATGAAGCATGGTGAGTTTTTACCTTGTGTTGTACTGTGGACATGAATAGGCCAGTTTTTTCATCTCTGAATGCAGAGAGAAAGTCTCAGCTATCTTAAAAAATAAAGAAATAAATAAGCTTTGAACCTTTACAGCATGTAATCATTTCATTATAGGCTATCAGATATGTTTTACAGAACAGATGGTCATGGCTGATTATCCTGGTAGGAAAATCAAGATGCACTGCACCTATTTAACCACTTTGTCAGTATTACCTGCCTTAATGAGAGTTAAATAAAAAAGGACAGAGGCATGAAGCACAAAGAGAAATACATATCTTCCTTCTTTTGCCTGTACTTCTCTGACCACTTCATTACAAATCCCATGTGGAAAGACCTGCAGACAAATAATTTTGTGCTGGTTCCTCTACTGCCAAGGGCTGTTTTTAAAATCAAGCATCCTCGCTGTCTTTCTGTCTAGGTGGAGAAACATGTTTTATCTGAAGGTTCTTTCCCTCTGCAGTCACATTGCACAGCCACATATCCAGTCGAGATTGGTGGGGTTTTTTTTTCTTTTTCTGCCATTTACTGATCTGCCTTGTCTGGCTGGTGTCTGTCACAATCAAAGTATCCTCAGTGTTACAACATGCAGATAAATAATTGATTCACGCAGGCAGCTCACTGGTTATGTAATGAAGCATCAGAGAGTACCCTACTCTGAAACTGTGCCGCAAGTAAAGACATAAATGTTACAGCAGCTTGTTGATATTTAGTGCATGTGTGTCAAATTTGTCAAATGATTTGATTACAAATGATTATTAATTGGTTTATTGAGTGGCTTTATTGTCATTGCAAACTAGGGTAGCAAAACAATGAAATTATTTTAGCACCTCCTGACATGCAAAACATTAAAAAAAAACGGTGCAAATGGAAATATTTAAACATGCACATGAAGAATAAAGAATATGTGGTAAGAAAATATAGTGCAAAGATTACACAAGTACTATATACACTATATTATATTAAGATAGAAATACTATAAACCACAGTTTAGCTACACACTATAAACATACTAAAGAACATTGAATGGTGTTAAAGTCAGGGTGTTATGTTTCTCCATTGTAATCTATCAGTCAATCAACTGTGTATTATTCAGCA